TTTTTTAAATTTTAAGTCTTTATTTTTCCCCAAAACTACACAAGGCCTAATTCTTACCCGAGATCATATTTTCATCAAGGTACTTTGTGAAATTTTCAATGTTAAATCCCTGAATACATTTTTAAATGTATTTAATAAGGTAGATCCTTACTGAGCACGAACTTTAAGAAAGAAAAATTGTCTGAAAGTGTAGCATAATTTTTTTTTCCAAAGTTAGCCGCTGAAACTATTATTTTCGCGTTTATAGCAACACCTAACCTTAAAAAAAATTTACTTTGAAAGTGTAGCACACCTTTTTACAAAGTTGTTGCTGCTTTTAGCCCATCACATCCAGCCACCCAACTAATCTTCCTCCCAGTTGGTATCCTTCACTTACACTCCCTCACATACTCAAGATGCCTGCAATTTTATTTGTAATATGGTTTCAGAATTATCATCTTAGGATGGAAACTTAAATAATTTGGAATTCTGTAAATAAAAATAAATTTGTGTATGTTCAATCCTTGACAGACTTTTTTTTATTAAAGGATGTGAATGTATTTAGATAGTTGAGAGTAGAACTGTTGGCAGAAGTTGGAAGACAGGGTAAGCTATAGAATAGATGGTAGGGGAGAAGTAGTTAGTGTTAAGGCATCTGTGGAGAGAAAGAAGTTATCTGTGAAGAGACACAGGAATGTTGCAAAATATAGTGTTAACATTTGATGGGTGTGAAGAATGGGTTTTAAATGTTAGTGATGGGGTGGGCATCTAGAGACAATGGCAGTGGAGGTGTCATGTTCAAGAGCAGTGTGTGGTGCAAATTCAGTATTATGCAAAGAATTCAGAGTATAGGAATTTGAAGACACTGTTGAGTTTCAAAAGATCCTGTTTAATAGGGCAGAGGAGGGTTTGAGGTGGTTTTCTGCTTTTAGTAAATGAAGCAGAACAGGACGAAGAAGAGGGTGAATAAAATACACAACCTACACATAAGAGAAAAGTGCTTAAGACAACAGTGTAGGGTGTATAAATGAGGCTGAATGGGAGGAGGGTAGGGGCTATCTCAGGAAGGATTGTAGGGAGAGGGTGAAGAGGTTTTTAAGTGGTAGTGGGCTGAGGTATCCAACAGGCAATAGTGTGTGTATTTGCCAGTATGTTTCAGTTGCAGGAGTGGTTTGTATGCTAGTTTGGAGTAAGTGAAGAAGAGGTTTTAGGAGTATGATACGACATACCCAGGGGGGGTTAAAAACCCGGACACCACAAAACCCGGGCCGCGCTTAACCAGGGACCAGCTAGTACCCTTGGATTTAACATTTATAAGGGATTAGTGAAATTGTAATTGATTGATTCCGAGAGGTGGATATAGTCAGAGTCACTTAAATTAGTAAATGTCTGCACTTCTTGCACAGAACAGTCATTAAATGAATGATGGTGAAATTGCCTGCACTTTTCTCACCTTAACTTGGTGGGAGACTGGAATGTGGTAAAAAAAAAGTTTTGGAGGAAACTGGGTAAAAGTAAGTATATTAAATACAGCAGTTGGTAGTTTTAGTTTGTAAGTGGTTGTATGCTTAATTTGAGAAAATTATAATGTTTTTTAATAGATACCGGCCATACCACCGAGGCGGGTTGACCCAAAGCCAAAAACAAATTTCCTCCTTAACAATTTGGTAAAACCAGTAGAATGGTTATAACCTTCTGAGGCATTTAGTGCTCTTAAAGATTTGCTTACAGAGGAAGGTTATTCACTTCCATGAGATAGAGGAAATAACGAACGAACTTTAAGAAACTAGAATAAAACCCAGAGGGTGAATATTTTCCTTTACATTTATTGACCTTGACCTAAGTGTGGTAGAAGTGAAGACTTATAATTTGCAGGATATAACTGAAAAGACACCAGCTAAATCATATTAAAAAACAGCAGGGGTTTATTTTTCACACTGAGGAGGGTAGTATCCATGAGAATTTATTGTCTACAAACTACCTACAAATTTTATAATTGTAATTTTTTTTCAGAGCGTGTCTCACATGGACTTAGATGATGTCTTTGTTGGAATCATTGTTGAGCTCAGATGGCAAGATCCTCATGTCAAAGTTACCAGAGATATTTGCAATTTTTTTCGCCGTGAGGGTGTAATGCATCAAACAAGCGGTTATGTGACCCTGATCTCCCTTTGGAGCACCATCGACTAAATTGAGTAGTCCAGAGCTATCCTTAGGATCTGGTCGCATTGGAACCCAGAGTTCAACCAGTCCTTTGCTGACAGGCCGTCCATTTAATGGCAATTGCTTGGACACTACCCCAACTCTTCCTACTCCTCCAAGCCAGGATGATGATAAATTGCAGAGCCCATCGCAACTAAGACTTTATGATGTATTAAAGCGCAAGCGCACAGCTCGTATGCGTACTGGAACGTGGAGAAAAAGTAGACAGGAAGATTCAACATCGTCGTCATTCAGTGAATTCTTCATGAAAAGTGAGTTTATGGCAAATTTGTACAAAATTTGTTACTGTTATTCATTGACTTTTATATAAATCATTGCTGAGTTGTTAACCAAGTTACCCTTGGTAGTATTGTTTAGTATTTAACCAAATCATAGGCACCAAAGACAAAATAAAAATTTCTAGAAAAAAAAAATCGTACCCTAGATATTCTAATGAATACAGCGGTACCCAGAGTTTCGGCTATAATTCATTCCAGGTTATTAGAGTGCCGTTACCGAACGAATGTGTTCCCATAAGGAATAATTTAAATTAGATTAGTCTGTTTCAGACCCTCAAAAATACACTTAGAAAAGCACTTACAATAATAGACTTGCCGAATTGTTCGAGTTGGGAGCTGTATGAAACTCGGGGATACTTCTATATTCTGTATTACAAAAGTTTTTTTTACATTAGACAAATATTACAAAAAGTAGTGCAACACACACCATTGGTTCAACCCCCACCCGTTCCATGGTTATTGTAACACAAGCAAAAAGGTTAACAGTATGTGTACCTCAGAATGTATAAATTTTCTTCAAAAACTTAATATTGCAATAATTGGTTTCGTTGTTCATTTCCCACAAGGAAAGTGCAAAATTATACATAACATTTTGTGCAGAGTAAACGCATTGTAATTTTTGTATTGGCTGTATGATCGAGTAAAAACATTGTACAGTGGACCCCCACTTAACGATCACCTCCAAATGCGACCAATTATGTAAGTGTATTTATGTAAGTGCGTTTGTACGTGTATGTTTGGGGTCTGAAAATGTAGTAATCTACTTCACAATATTCCTTATGGGAACAAATTCGGTCAGTACTGGCACTGAACATACTACTGGAATGAAAAAGGTTCGTTACACCGGGGGTCCACTGTATTGACTTCCTAAACTCCTAAGTGAATCTTTGCTACAGTAAATGTTGTGTTAGTTGAACATTTGCCTATTTTTGTAATATAATTAAATGGGATTAGTGTAGGCAATCATAAATTAATTAGCAGTTGTGCTGTTATTTTCCTACTCGTGCTTATCCTATACGTATTACAGTAAATCTTCAATTTAACGAGACCTCGATTTAATTAAAAGTACATAGCTGCATCAATGAAACTACTAACAGTCAGTTGGTTACTGTTATGATTACAGCAAAAAATAAATAAAAACTATGCAAACTATACATTATAATTGCCATTACTGGTCACTTGCTTCTCCTCCTTCCTTCCCTTTAAAGTTATTAATAGTATTTTTATGTATTTATAATTCTAATCTTAAATACAGTGGACCCCGGTTAACGAAACTTTTTATCATCCAGAAGTATGTATTCAGGTGCAGTATGACACGAAATTTTTTCCCATAAGGAATATTTTGAAGTAGATTAGTCATTTCAGACGCCCCAAACTACACGTACAACGCACTACAAAATACACTTTAATGGTGGCGTTTTGGAGGTGATCGTTAAGCGGGGTCATGTATATTAAAACTTGCAGACACTACTAAATGTGGATATATAAAGCATGTATGGAGAAAATTATTAAAAAATATTCTTCTGTAGTCAGACTGAGTCTGAAATGGTGAAGTATGATGCCTGCACTTAAAGGCTGGGTTTGGGTATTACAGTTTGGAGGACATCTAAACTGTCGTTGTATCTGAGCGCCTCAGCAAAGACAGGTGGTGGTGATTAAGAATAAGTGACGGTTGAAAGTGTTGAATAATGAAACTTTTTTTTTTTTTTTTTTTTTTTTTTTTTTTTTTTTTTTTGTCGCATCTTGGGCCTCGGATGGGAAATGGCTTCGTGTAAAAAAAGAATTGCTTATTAGCTTCACAAATGACTTCCTTTTAAATAAGTATTTTAAAGTTATGGAGTAGAAATATATGACATGTGACATCTTGGTCTGACTTGAGAGATGCTTGGTGTGCTTGATGTGAATCTGGTAAAATAAACTGTGGAGTGATAATACATGAAGTATTCAATAGTAAGAGTGAATGGGCATCTGAGGTTCAAACAATGTCTTCAAACACCGAACCTATAAAAATATATTGGCATTTTTAAAACGCCTTCATTTTTTTAATGTCTTGTATTTAAGTGTGCAATGAGGTTGTGGTTCCTTTCTTCTTGTATACTACAAAAACCACTTGGTTTTAAAAAATCTTATTTTTATGATGCTGTAATTGGATAAAATGCGGCTCCAACATTTTTATTTACTTGATAAACAGATGTAAAACAAGATTAATATACAGCAGTAAAGCACTACAGAAAATAGTGATAATCACCATCCCTGCCTGGAAACCATATTCTACGGCATGGGTTTTATATCAGTGTTGTAGTGCCCGTTCCATAATACAAAATACAGTGGACCCCCAGTTACGATATTTCATTCCAGAAGTATGTTCAGGTGCCAGTACTGACCGAATTTGTTCCCATAAGGAATATTGTGAAGTAGATTAGTCCATTTCAGACCACCAAACATACACATACAGTCGCACTTACATAAATACACTTACATAATTGGTTGCATTGGGAGCTGATCGTAAACCATGGGTCCACTGTATAATGGATCTTCCTGAAATATGCTTAATAGATGACCTCATTAAAATTAGCTATTTTGTAAAAAAAGTAAATTGTTTTGAATTGCCCTAAACGAGTCATTCATAATAAATGTAAACATATTCTACTAGCACTTGTATATTACTATATATAAGGGAAAAGAAATGAAAGTTCTATCCACATGGCCTACACGTCTTATTTTTCCCAAGATGCAGGCTTGGTGGTGGTCGAGACACTTGGAGAGGAATGGCCAGTCGAACCAAACTGGTGGCTGGTAACAATAGTAGTAATTCAACGAGCAGCAGCGGAGGCGGTAGCAGTAGCAAGTCGTCTTTTTCTTGCAAACTTCAACCCTTCACGCTGGGGAAGGTGCAATTCTGCCACGTCTTCTCCCTCGCACGAATCGCCACGGGAAAGGTTTGTTATCTAGCATTTATTTTGAAGTAGTTTCTGATTACCTATATTTCTTGGGTTGAGTTTTTGTTTAGCATTGTTAAGGGGAAAAGTTGAAATTCAAAATCTTCATTCATTGTACACATCTTTAGGCACTCTTAGAGGGCTTGGGATATTTGCTGTTTGGAGGGACATCTGAACGTATGTATCTGTGCCTCTGCAAAGGCAGTGATAGTGTGAATGCATTTCTTTCTTGGGGGGGGGTCACCCTACCTCGGTGAGAGACAGCCAGTGTTAAAAAAATTTACCCCTAAATTACTTGACATATCCACTTGAAAAAATCTGGTGTAAGAGAACACCCACTTGAAAAAATCTGGTGTAAGAGAACACCCACTTGAAAAAATCTGGTGTAAGAGAACACTAAATATGGGTATAGTGAAACACAAGAGGCCGTCCACATACACGAGAGTTAGGGGATCAAGAATCTCGTGAGCCTTCAAAATTCGCGAATGTTTGGTGTGCAACTATATTGTAGGGAAATATAATAATAGCATTTACTTAGCCTAACAATACTGTTTCCTTTACCATGAACAGTCATAAAACACATGAAAACAGTAAATGCTAGTGCCGCCCTTATCTTCACCTCATTTTTCTCGATAAAACACACTGTGCTTTCGTTTACATTAATTTTCCAATGGCAGAATTGCTCAAATCACCTCCCTACCCTTGTCTAGGAATTTCACCTTCTTCAGATTCATGACTTTCTTTGAGCACTTAGGGGTTGGCACATCAATAGCGGTTGTTGCTCGCTTGGGGGGCCATACACCACACACGCACACACACTCACGTGTACAGTAGGACACGAATAGTAACTGGACATCACCGATGTGAACAGTAACTGGACAAAGACTGAGTGATAGACTGGCAGGTTGCCAGTTGAGGGGGTAAGAGGGAGGGTAGTAGGGATGTGGTGGGAAGCATTTTCCCGTACTTTTTTCCTGCATGGGCATTGGCAGATGTTTGAAGCTCGTGAAAGTGGAGGGCTAGCAGTATTCCAATTTATATTTTATGGAAAAAAAAAAAGGTAACCAGATATTAATGTGTTAACATTTTAAGAAGAGCACTAGCTGCTTTGAGTAACATGAGCTGCTATACACAAATAACTTGCACATAAAAGAGAGGAGCTTATGACGATGTTTCAGTCCGACTCGGACCAAGTCGGACCGAAACGTTGTCGTAAGCTTCTCTCTTTTATGTGCGGGTTATTTGTATATCGTTCCAGTCACGGTATTGTGCCTTTTTTTGTTATTTATGAGCTGCTTCTTACATTCTCAATACTGAAGTTGGACTGCAGTTATTCATACTGTGAATGAGTAATGAAATTATGCGAGTTAAGCAAACAAAAGACCACATGAAAATTAAGAAAGGAAGAGCTTAAGGGATACTGCAAAATTTTTCTTGAAAAATACTGGTGGAAGAATGGGAATAAATTGAAATAGTACACAACACAATTATTTGAAAAAAATATTTGATTTAATAAAATGATACACCATAAGCATATAAAAGACAGGACTCGCAGCAATGCTTTCAAGTTGGAAAAGTTCAGATTCTGGAAGAACATAGGAAAGCACTGGTTTGGCAATAGAGTTGTGGATGAGTGGAACAAACTCCTGAGTACCATCATAGAAACTAAGATCTTGTGTAGTTTTAAAAATAGGTTAGATAAATACATGAGTGGGTGTGGATGGGTGAGAGTTGGAACTGACTAGCTTGTGCTACCAGGTCTGATGCCGTGCTCCTTCCTTAAGTGGAAGTGACCTGACTAGGTGATCATTGTTCTAAGCCTGGGGGTGGCATGGACCTGCTTCGCATGGGTCAGTAGGCCTGTTGCAATGTTCCTTCATTCTTATGTTCTTATGTTCTAAAATAATTGTTACTATATTGTCATGGCCAGGCTTAGAGAGTAGCAAGACTCGCGAAACTCATCAAAGGTATAGATCTGTGCTATGGAGAAATGATCCCAATATTATTAAAATAGATCTATAGTTACTTTGACCTTTTAATCTCATAGATTGTGGTAGATAAGTCTGTTTCTGGTGTCTGGTAGACCATTTTCTCGAGTCCTGAGTAATAGGACAGTATTACCCCGTAAATAGATTAATTTTCTTTGTCACCAGGACAAATTAGTTAGTAACAACATTAGCAGTACCGGGAGCAACAGCAGTAACAAGGAAGTGGTTCGTGTGTGGGTCAGAGAACAGGCGCAGCGGCTTAATCAACTCTACTTCACCACCGAATTGCAGGGAGCTTCCCATCCTGCCCTTAGTGTGTTAAATAGACTTATAGCAGCCATTCAGCAATTAGAGCAAGAGGTAAGTCAGTTCAGGAAGAAATGCAATTCCAAATTTTGCAAGGGCAATTGTACCATTTTTTTTTTTTTTGTTGTTAAAGTTAACCTGAAAAGTCCAAAAGTTATATTTTGTTTTTTTTAAAATTTGGAATATGTAAAAAAAAAGTAGATCTTTTTTTTTTTTTTTTTTTTTTACTTTTAAAATGTTAAAAAAAAACTTATCACTTTTTTTTTTTATTTGAAAATAGTAAAAAAAAAAAAATGTGGATCACTTTTGTAGCACTACACAGTAAAGTAGATCGCTTTGGACCGTTTTAGGGGTTTAAATTATTAAATTTAAATTTCACACAATAAGGAAGATAACAGAATCAATCCTTGGTTTTTCATAAGAGTAAAAGCATTACTTTAACGGGCAACTTTTCCTTTTAAACTCGTAAACCCCTTATCGAAGCTTTCAAATTTTTAGGTATTAGATTTTCATTGACACTTTTTTTTATTATATTTAATTTTTTCCTCACCCCCTGTGAAGGGGGGAAAAAGGAAAGCTTGTAACTCCTTCCCTAATAAGTAAATAAAGCAAATGTGATTTGTGAATAAAATTTGTTTGGTAAAATATGAAGTTTTTTAATTTTTACATTTTAAATTTCAGCCTAACTGTGCCGTTCAGGCACTAAGGGAAATAAGTAGGATTGTAACGGAGAGTGATATCAGTCCATTTGAAGTAATCCACTCCGGGTTGGTTCGTTGTCTGTTGAACTACCTCACTGCCTCTGAAAATTCGACGCTTTCCTTAACTCACGACGGAACCATTTTGACTACTATTGGTGGGCTAAGTAGTAGTACAGAGAATGGAAGCCCCACATCCATCAATGTAAGCACACCACGGGACACCAGACTCAGGAATTTCCTTCACGTCTTCCTTGGATGTTCAGTAAGTTAGTCTTTGACGGAAAAATTACATACAGTAATACTGTGCCATGGGATTCTAGCATGGATTTTTTTTTGGGGGGGAGGGGGGGTATTTGAAAGAGCATTTAACCCTTAAACTGTCCAAATGTAGATCTACGTTCACTTGCATAGTGTTTTGTTTTTTTGTTTTTAATGAGCGCATTTTCCGCAGGGTCTGCAGATTTTGTAATGCTGCACACACTGAGTGCACAGACCCATTCCCTCATGTCTAGGCAACTCAGGTCTATTGTCCCAAGGTTGAAAGCATGTAAAATAAAACTTGGGTGTACGTTCGGAGCTCTACGCACGTGAAAGTAAATCTACATTTGGACAGTTTAAGGGTTAAATATTAGAAATGTATAACAAATATTTCACATAAATATAAAACTTTGCCATTAAAGGAGAAAATATATGTGCCTGTTTGACACATGGCATGAAAATTTTCAGGTATATATAACTGCCAAGAGCACTGCTGTATACCTGCCATGAATAAACACATTTCATATTGTTAGATAAATGGACGCAGATACAACTGTGATATTTTATTGTGGCAACATTTTGCTTTCTAGGAGCTAGACAAAGCTCCTGGAAAGCAAAACTCTTACAATTAAATGTCTCATTAGTTGCATCAATGTCCATTTGTCTAACATTTTTGTCAGTAATTCTACCATTATTCCTTAAGTTTCATGTTGTGTGGGAGGGAGGCAGAATGAGTGGTGTCTTTTAAAATAAAAAAAAATGCAGACAGGGAAAGGGGATTGTAAGAGAACACAAGTTAATTGAATTTTTTTTCTTTTTGTAAGAATAATATGAAGGTTGTGCTGGATTATATCTATAGACTAAGAAGGAATCTGTGGGAAGATAAATATTTGTTTAGCTAACAGTAATATTTACCTGGTCATCTAAGCTACTAATCTAAAGAAAAGTTACAGCTTTTTGTTTGATAAATAATCTTTTAATCTTGAATATTCCTTAGAGCATGCTTAGCTTATCTATAACAGTATAATTTTCTTTCAAACAGTTGAACAAACTAAGCCTTGGCACTGTGGACTTGAGCCATATAGCATTATTTAGTGCCCTGGTTACAAAGCTCAATGGGTGTGTCAATCAGTTGGAGCAGTTTCCAGTGAAGGTCCATGACTTGCCAGGAACTGCTCTTTCAGGCTTAGGTAGAGGAGGATCAACGTCTGCCATCAAGTTCTTCAACACACACCAGCTCAAGGTCAGGAGACACTACATTAGTAGTTTCTTTCAATGAAGGCATTGATGAGTGAACCTTGTTTGTTTCAGCTTGTCTGGTATATTGACTCTTCACAACTTGGACATTAGAGGTCCCGGGTTCAACTCCCGGACAGGCCCCCATATTACAACCTAGGATTTCAAATGGCCTGTTATCCCAGGTGTAATGGGAGCAAATAAACACAGTAGAAAAAGTTTAGACTTATATTATCCTTCACCAATTATAACAGCAATATGTACACTATGTACAGTGATAAATATAGTGCACTCCACGGTAAGCAAGGCAGAAATAGAAGCCACAAGATAGCAGACCGTGCTTCAACCAGCTCTAGAGTGGGAATGACAAGGGCAGACAGGAGAGCGGTATCCACATAACCTCTGCGATTGTCAATCCCACCTTCTTATTTGGGTGAAACCCGGTCACTAGTTGAACGATGGGGGCCCCATCATCAACTCTTAGCAACCTGGTTCGCTGGTTGGGGGAGATAGCCTGTAAATGAGGGTGTGTCCATGCGCCGAATAAAGGTTACGCTACTCTTTGCATGCCACCCCCCCCCACCCCCAGAAGGCTCAGGATTAGGCTGCCCCCCTCCCAGTGGTAAACCCTTTCCGCCATGGCACAAAATAATGGGGACCCGGGCCCATCCTCTCCACCATCCAACTCTTAGATAGAGCTCAGCTTTCCTAGTGCCTGGAAAGCCAAACCCTAAACTCAGAGTGAGACAGCCAGTCAGATAAACCAACATAGGTCCAAGATACAACGGACGGTAAACCCGTATCCCCTCACTAAAAAAAAACCCCACATCAGGGGATAAAAAAAAGAGCTTGAAAGGGGGGTTACCACAAATACATCCTAACCTAAATAAAATATTAAACTAGACTTTGACAAGAGTCGCCAAAACATTT